TAATAAAAAATCGTAAAGCATTAAAATATCCTTAAATCTATTGTTCAATTTTGATAAAAAAAAAAAATTAAATGTAATTTAATACAAATTTTCCGTGATACTACGTTAGAACTACCTTTTATAAAATCCAATTTATGTAAAAAAATAAAAAATCGCATTTATATAAAAACGTCATTTTAATTAAAAAAAGTGTATTTCATTTACCAAATAATTGAACAGCATTAAAAAATTAAGATTACTATCGTTATMAATTAATAACTAATAAGCTATTTTAGATAGTTAATAACGTATTAGAAAAAWTTTTTTAATAAAATCTAAAAACTTTGAAAATTCGTAGGGGTGGGAATTTTGACTTGCAAATTCTTGCAAATTATAACGTGTGTTTTGACACTAGTTTCGAAATTTTCTGACAACAAGTAAGGGTTGGGTTTAAAACTATGAAAATTCGTAGGGGTGAGAATTTTGACTTGCAAATTGCGGGAGTGGACTTGCAAATCCTTGCAAATTATAACGAGTGTTTTGAAACTAGTTTCCAAATTTTCTGACAACAAGTAAGAGCTGCGTGAAGTTGGCCCTTACTTGATTCCATCCCTTATAACTTCTTTGTTTTTGACTTGCAAATTTCGGGATTTTACATGCAAATTCTTGCTAATTACTTGCAAAATAATGGCACTTTGAAAAATATGTTTTGAAAAAGTGTAAGGGCCAACTTCACATACATATTTTATTGTAATGAAAATACGATAGAAATGAACCCACGACAGTGGTGTACCTATTTTGCCTATTTGTATCGCCGTGCTTGATCAAAATATTTATTTCGAAATGCTCCGAAAAAATATTTCAATTTTAAGGGTAAATTGTCTGTCGGTTTTTATATTAAAAATTAATTTATCCTTGTTTCGTTATTATACTTTTGYTAAAAATGTAGTGTTTTATAGCCGGAAATGGAATTTCAGAGGGATCATTACGCCTCTGCACGAACCTAATAATTTTCGACAATTCTTCAATATAATACTTACACGTGTACTCAAGAATACTGTATCTCAATCACTGTAAAATTATAGCCGCGTAGGACCATCAAAGAGTAAAACGTTTGATACGTATACACATTTTTGTAACCCCACTAAAACTTAATTCTAATTTGATTTACTG